TCGGCGTACGGCGACGCGAAGGCAACGAGAGTCGTCGGTCTCGTGGCGATCTCTCGCGCTCTTTCACTCGTTAACGAGCATAATTCGCTTCCGATGCAATTTCCAGAAACGAGGACGAACGAGAGAAGGGAAGCAAAAACTGGTTCGAAACCTTCCATTCTCCCCGATATGTGCGATTCACCTCTACTCGAAAAAATCGGCCATCTTTTTCGAGAAATTTCTCCCAGGAAATTTGGTGGTTTAAAATACCTTGTCAAAGTTATGATTAATTTGAGATGAATCGATTTTTTAGATTTGTAAAAATATTTTTACGCGATATATATATATATATATATATTCGTTTTGAATCTTTTTCAACGTACGATCTCCATTAAAGCTGGCGAGTTATGAGGATCGCCTTGGAATTTTCAAAATTGGAAAACAAACGAAGTAGCATGTGTACAAGGGTGTAAAAAACGAGAAGCGAGTGTGAGACAGATGCAAAGTTGAAGCAAAGTGAAGAAGTGTATTTGGTGCGTGTGTATGCGTGAATGGCCGGCATTGAGAAGAAGTTGCAGCTGCGGATACGCGATGCTCGCTCATAAAATGTTGGCCTGTTCGTCACGTTTGATCTTATCCTCGACCGAATTATTTTCTCGAGGCGCGAAAGGGAAAAGATATTTGGAAAATATTAAAGAGGCGTGGTTAAAGAGCAAACGAAGTGTTTGTTAACCGTTGTTTGCGCGTAATTCGATATTATTCGAGCATTATCGTTACAAAATGAACGGATAAACAAATGCAAATGAGAGCGAGCCGCTAATGAGGCGTGCAAGGTTAATCAAATTTCTTCGTTCGATTTGCGCGAAAAGCGCGATCGATCATCGATTCTTAATTATTAATTTGCACGCGAGTCGATCGATCAAAATGTCGCCAGAAGCTTTCTTTGCTCGGGGACACGTGGAGAAGGAAAAAGAGAAGGGAAGAAAAATCGACACTTGAAGTGAACGCGTTTCGTTTCGAATTACTCGATAATGTCTCGATCGCTGTACATTTCCAAATACATATACACATTGGTGAAGAAGAATAATAGAAGGAGGAATGAAAAGGGAAAGCGTGTGGTTTTTAATGAGATGGCGCGCGGAATGCCTTCTGCAGGAGGCGAGAATAACTAACGCAAATAGAAACGGTACCTACTGCCTCGCGCGAATCAAGATACCGGCAAATATCGATGAATTTCCGTTTTTTCACGCGTTTCAATCCCGCGAATTGTGACTTGTTGCTTGCCGACTTCGAACGTTCCACGGTTAATTGACCGCTCCCTTATTTACCGACCGAGTCGTCAAACAACTCGGTTGTTGCCGAGAAATTTTAAGCTTTATGCTCCCGTTGAAAAAATCAATCGAGATTTATTGTTCGATGAAAAATATGGGATTGATGCGAGGAATCCTTTCGATCAAAACGATAATTTATCGCGTATTAACGATATGGAAAGCGAAGAGAGATAATGGAGATTGTAATTGTAATCTAGATATCAATTCGCCGAATCATTCGTTTACATTTGCATCTGTTGCAGAGTTCGTATAACGTACTATTATAATTGTAAATTATACGATGATAATCGATTACGGGCCAATTTGAGATTAATTTTGCTAATATTGGCTCTGCCCAATTATCGTCGTATATCTGACTCGATGTAACCCTCGTTGTGTGGTCGATTATTATTTAACGATTATCTTCGGTTAAATATTATTCTATATATATATATATATAAATACAAGGCAGAAAATCGATTGTAAAAGCATTGGCAACTGAGACGTAATATTTTTTTTTTTTTGTAATTCTTTCGTTTGATCGATTCAATCGATATTATTCGCGAAAATTATCGAACGAAACGGATATAAATTTCCTTAATTTAATTAACATCTCCATATTTGCGAAACTCGTTGATCGAGCGTGTAACAAACGTCTATTAAAGTCACGACGCGATTCGTTTAAATCGTACTTACGCCACGGATGAATTAATTTCGTTCAAACATTCGATCATATCTCGATTTTTAATTTTGCAATTTCGTGTCAAATCTCTTTGTCATTTCTTCGCCTTTTTCTTTCTTTTTTTTTTTTTTTAAACTGCTTGCTTAAAATTTCGAAAACTTTTGATACTATGCTATAGATATTTAGAACTGGAAAAAAAACTCCTCCTCTTAATCTCTAATCGTTGCAAGTTAATTTTCCATTGTCTTGCCAACAAGCCTCCCAAGCTACAACTAATTGGAAGTTTAATTTAATTATTTCTGCATCGAGGCTCGCGTAAGCGTCGACCAAACCGACTATCGTTACACCTTTTAAGCGAAGATAAAAACAAGAATTTCGGTGAAAAAGCGAGAAGTTAATTAGCGGCGAGAATAATTTTTTTTTAAAAGACTTTGTATTTATTTATAAAATAATGGTTCTCGATCTATTCTTCTTAACTCTTGCGAAACGGAATATTATTTTTTTCGATTATTTATCTCGATGTAACTATTATTATTTATGTTTTGCAAAAAATATTACAACGATTCAAAGTCTAACCTTACTCTGCAAAGTAAAACAAAGTCCGTTTGATTCTTCTGACTTCTCAAAGATCAAAGACGAAAAAGTAACTAATTAATAAAATCTCGAATAAAGTGATTATTATAATTGAATTTTTTTGTCATAACTTCAATTATTTCCGATTATTATTATTATATTTTGAACGATAAACAATTAAAGTAACTTCAATTCGTAAATTCGACTTCAATTAAATTTTTAAAAAGCCATGGTTTTCATACGTTTCTTTTCTCTCGTTCTTTCACGAAGATACACGAAGACGGTGGCGGACTCGAGTTTGACGGCGCAGAGGTACAACCCGGAGTTCACCGTGACGACGATGTCGCCGACGACGGCTTCCTACGGCAACGCGAATACCAGCGTGCTCATTGACCAATTGAGGCACATTAATCAGGTGAGTTCCATGCCCAACTGTAATTTGTTCCTCGGCTCAGCCTTGGCTGACCGTGTTTCCGATTCAATTGTCTCTCGTTCACATCCTGTTTTCGACTTGTGCTCGAATCGGGGAGACACTGTCGCCGCGTCTCTTTGCTCTTCAAATTGATCAAAATATAATTCAGGTGCTTGAACCGATTGAGAATCGGATTTATTTTTATATTAGAGAAATTTTCAAATTTTTCGTTTTAATCGTTTTCAATTTTTCGTTTTTGTATAATTTTGGACTTTGGAATTTGGAGAATCAGAGAATCAGATTTATGAGAGAAATTTTCAAATTTTTCGTTTCAATCATTTATGACAGTGAAAATAAGATTAGATTTATTTTTTATCATTTTTTTATAATTTCGGAATTTTTTATAATTTTGGAATTTAAAGAATCAGAGA